ACGAAATGCCGTAATGATATAGTTTTACTCGGTGAAATGTGAACCTGTTACGGATTGTATTGTAAAGTCGAGCACTCATTAACGAACTCGTACTTTGAACCAGATCTTGAGACGAAAGGTCACTGAATTTTCAAGTTTACATCCTCCAAATGTATAAGGCTTGTTTTACGCGTGCACTTGTTTTTCTTGATCCGCTATGCTTTCGAATTTCATTTTAAGAATTAAGATGTATATTATTGATTTTTTTATTCTATCATGCTCGTATACATAAATAATGAATACAGTGTGAGTCACGTTAAAGTGTACATATGAAAATAGATAAAACTAGACCTGTTTTTATCGACAAAAAAGAGGTCAAAAAATTTTTGAGATTTTTTTTTAATTTTTTATAGAATTTTTTTTCTTCCAATTACTTATTGTAAAGAAAATGTAATAACTTTTAAACTAAGCGGTATATCCTGATAAAATAAAAACAGTAATAATGCTAAATAACAGGCAATACTAAAAAAATACATAAAATACACAAAAAAGGCCAACAAATAATAAAAAATGATACTTTTTGAAAAAAATCTGCTTAAAAATTCGTGTTTTTTTGGTTATTTGATAAATTTCTCCAAAAAATGCCCCTATAACCGGTGGTTTTTATTACTTTGTATTGTTCTCTATCGTATTATCTTTGTAAAACCAAAAATCGCATGTCTCTATCCCTATCACAACATTTGCTATGATCGTTTGAACAAAGGCCTGCCACAACATTATTCTCCGCTACAGGTAGAGACAATTTTAATTTTAACTAAAATGCTTATTTTACTTCGAAATCTTTTGTTTTTATTTGAAATCTAACTTGTCTTTATCAAAATTACAAATCTTGAGCCATTTTCAGTTTTGTTGTAAACGAAGCGTTGAATGGCGCGCTCGGAGAGGCTTAGTTCAAACGATCATTGCAAACGTTGTGATAGGGATAGAGACATGCGATTTTTGGTTTTACGAAGGTAATACGATAGAGAATAATACAAAGTAATAAAAACCACCAGTTATAGGGGCATTTTTTAGAGAAATTTATCAAATAACCAAAAAAACACGAATTTTTAAGCAGATTTTTTTCAAAAATTATCATTTTTTGTTATTTGTTGGCCTTTTTTGTGTATTTTATGTATTCTTTTAGTATTTCCTGTTATTTAGAATTATCACTGGTTTTATTTTATCAGGATATACCGCTTAGTTTAAAAGTTATTACGTTTTCTTTACAATAAGTAATTGGAAGAAAAAAAATTCTATAAAAAATTAAAAAAAAATCTCAAAAAAATTTTGACCTCTTTTTTGTCGATAAAAATTGGTCTAGTTTCATCTATTTTCATATGTACACTTTAACGTGACTCACACTGTATTTGTAATTCAGCTTACCCTCTTATAAGCATAGCTTCATAACAAATTAACATATCAAATGATACTTACTCGTAATCATCACACGCATCTTTGACTCCTCCAGAATTTGGTAAAAGTTGGTAAATAATTTTAGTAATACTACTTCGGTCGTTGATTGCAAAGAAGTTACAATGTAACTAAAGTGTAACTTAATAATGTCATTAGTCCTCAATTAATTTTGGTGTATTTTCTTTTATGTCACAGGAGGCAAACGAGCAGACGGATCACCTGATGGTAAGTGATTACCGTCGCCCATAGACACCCGCAGACCCAGGGGCGTTACAGGTGCGTTACCGGCCTTTAAGGTGAAGATACGCTCTCCTCTTGAAAGCTTGCAGGTCGTATCTGTCCGGAAACACCGTAGACGACAGCCCATTCCACAGTTTGGTTGTACGGGGCAGGAAGTTTCTAGAGAAACGAACTGTCGTGGACTGCCAACCATCTAAGTGATGGGGGTGGAAGTGCTGTATATGCTAGATGAATTCCATGAATACCAAAAAAACTATGCAACTGGAGCCAATGGTAAAAAAACTTTTAAACAATCAAAAACATTATAGCAGGAACTTGTTACATACCTACTTAAAGTATTTTCGGAAATTAATTAAACATAATCGTCAATTTAAATTTAACAAATTTTAATAAAGAAATTTTACTCACTTTATGTAATAAACTTTTAGAGTGCATTTAAACTGAAAGAATTAATATTATTGTCGATGGAAAATAAAAAATAAAAAAGTCGCTGCATTTTGTGCAATTTTTGCAAGGCCGGTAATGAAGAGTTATGTCGGTGTTGATTTTAACATAATGAGCTGAGTAATTTCCGAACCGCACTTTAAGCTGTTGGGACACACAGTCTGTCAGAACAGCCAACAAAGATTACAATGTAACCAAATTAGACTCATGAAATTTCTTAAGTTATATTTATTCGGCCAGATCAGCAAACAAAGTTGCAGTTTGCTTAAGTTAAAGCAGTCTCATCAAAACAACTGGTAAACGTTGACTGGCAGAGAACGCTGTGAAGCATTAAGGCCACTTGTACTTTCGTAGTGCAATTAAATAAGCTAAGTACGCGATGAGTAAATGGAACTCGGTCTGTTATCATTATGTCATAAATAGAATCTCTATTTACCTCGTAAAATTCATGTTGTAGTTTACTTACTTCAATTTATGTAATGGTACTTAAAAGTATCAGTAATTTAAATATTCTGAAGATTTGTATTTAAAATACTTCTACTTGATTTATTTACGTGGTGAATTTTCAAAAGTCAAAGAATGTTAATTGGGTTTCGTCATCTTAGAAATGTGGATTTTTCACGAAATATACTCAGAATGTTTGAAGAACGCAAGAGTCGTATTCTCGTTCTGACGCTTACAGAATTTTAGTCGATTCTCGAAAATCGATTAAATGTGATGATTTTTATTGCATTTTAATAAGGCGTCGGCAGGTACAGCACGAAAAGCCTCCGGCTTTTATTTTTTTCTTTGTATTTGGCCAGGGATTCCTTACTTTTAAAAAAAATAAGTTGATATAGTTTTTTCGCGTTGATGGAGATATTGCACAGTATTTTTTTATAAATGAAAGAATAAAAATGAAAAACTCGTAAAATAATTTCAAATATCTACTGGTACTGGTGGTTCCAAGACCTTTTAGTTAAATACAATTTTTATTTTACATAAAATCAGCGTGAAACTTGACCTTTCCTAGATGGCGGTAAATGTTTACGATCAAAGCAAGCTCTACCTAAAAAGTAGCAAAATTTGCATTTGTAATAAAAAAAGGCAAATTTATGACTCTTATTTATATGTTACATTACGGTTTTATAAACGTGAATAATATTTTTGGCTCCAACTTTCAACCTCTATACAATAGACATCAACGAGCTAATACCTCAATTAATTTTATTTATTCAAGAATTTAAATTTTAGTTTTGTTATTAATAATGTAAACATCTGCGCAGTGCAACATATTTATGAGCGGACTTATTACCTACATACATATTAAAATTTTATGGGATTTCAATATTCTAAGTCAGCTGTCCAGCAATCAAAATAATTATAGAGATGCATAACGTCAGTTATAATTATACATACAGCACTCATAAATTGACTTGACATCTTTAATCTTTGACAAATACTTAAATAAATTCTAGCCTTACAGTCAAACCTTCTATTGCCTTGAGCAATTATATCATACGGCTATTAAATAATAATAATTATTATATTATAATTCAAATTACTTTGTTTCAATTGCGACTCATTAGAAGAGTTAAATTTACGGTTTACTAGTGCCTCATTAATATGCAAAGCACTTTCATTATAATAATGTTAAATCTGTAGCAATTTGCTTGTTTTACATCAATTAATTGGGCTTTTATCAGGGACCAGTTGGTAGCACTTAAAATTTCGTAAATGCCTCATTTCAACTCACATAGAGTAAAATATTTATCAAATGGTGAACTATTGTACTAGTAAATGACAATTACGAGCTTCCAAAAACATTTAATAAGATTATAAACTCAAATTCTAATTGCGTAAAAGGAACGATTCTTAAAAACGCATTCTGAGCTTATCCAAGTTAACAAAGCAATTGTATTACGATCTTATTTTAGTCATACTTATTCATTCGCATCGAACCCGGAACGGGACTATTCCCACCTCTCGTTCCCACCACTGCAACTCCTGTGTAGCCAGGATCTACAGCTTGACCGCCACAAAAACCCAACCAATGAAGGTCAAGTTTGTCCCGGGGGAAAGTTAAACTGTCATTGGACCCGCAACGAAATTAATCAGAAGAACATAGGAGGAGTTCGAAATTAAGGTTCGACTTCCCTCCATTGCAAAGCGGATGACAGGTGACAAACAAAGGTTTAAAACCTTCAAGAAAAGATTATGCACCACGGACAATAAATTAAATTAAGGGGGCCTATCTTATGAGCAATTAGCAACTACCTGCCAATAAATCGAACCCGGAAGGCTGCGATCTTACGCTCGCAAGGCTTCTACGCTCGGCTTCAAGCCTTAAGGTTCGGACAAACCAACGCGATCACAGCGCGATCAGCCGGCGTGCAGCGATGGCGACCAGTACCTCTAGTAGGAAAAACTTTCGAGTTCGTTTCGTTGCGTATTCAAAGTGTCATCGAAAAATTTTGTATGAAAAATTAAACAGCGCCCCCTAGGGCGGCTATAATATAGGGGGCGCTGTTTAATTTTTCATACAAAATTTTTCGATGACACTTTGAATACGCAACGAAACGAACTCGAAAGTTTTTCGTACTAGAGGTACAGACCTAAATGCATTGATCGCCATCGCTGCACGCCGGTCGATCGCGTTGGTTTGGCCGAACCTTTAGGCGCGTGCGATCATAACGGAGTCGCGCGCGCGACTGTTCGCTCAGTTCGCTGCCGCCCGCGCGCTATCGTTCACTGATCGGTCCCGTTAGAGCGAGAGCGCGCGTGCGAGCGGGACGGCTAGCTGCGCCCGCGCATGAGCCATCCGGAAGCCTCACTGAAACTGGACCGTTTTCTTTTCTTGTTATTATTGAGAGCTCTCAAGTTCTGTTGTTGTCGCGCAGCGCGCCGCCTGCGCTGATAACACGATGCCACGCCGGACCGCGCGCGCGCTTTGTACGCTCCGTAAGCTCGCACATTACCGCTTAAAGCTCGCGCGTACGTAAGCTATGGAATGGATATTTTGAGTGCTGTGACATTAAGAATTAACTGTTTGACAATATTTTTTTACTTTGTGTGTTAAAGACGTTTTTTTTTAAGTGTTTATAAGAAAGTGAAAACGATACTGTGCTAATTAAAATTTAAGGATTTTTCATGGAACTTGGAAAATTTTGAAGTGCGATCCGTTGAATGACACTATAAAGTTGAAAAGAGATCCGGGCAGTTTTTTTTATTCTTCTAATTTAGCAGGTATGTTGGTGAAACAGAAGTTAGTGATAAGTGTCTGAAAAGTGTCAGTTCTGAAGTTTTTTGGATACAGTTATTTTGTCTCTAAATAAATTTATTTTAAACGTGAACGAAAAAAAATATCATATCATTAATTGTGTGAAAAATATTTTTAATGTGATCATTATTTAATTTACGCAAAAACGCGAAATCGATCCAAAAGTTTTATGGACAGTTTATCAAACAATAAATAAAGGCGCATAAAAACCTCCAAAGTTCTAAAAGTTCAAGTGAAAAGACATAAACTTTACGAGGTCATATTTTAAGTCACAATTATTTGCTTTAATTTCCGAATTTAATGGCCGTGTCACAATAAATTACTTTTTACATTAAATAGCACAAAACTTATAATAAAACGCATTAAACTTTTTCTTCCGCGCGTATTTTACAGAATCATTATTACACTTTTTTAAAATCCAATACTATTAAATAAGAAAAATAAATAAAGTTTTTAATTTAGATAAAACAAGGTAATTAATCAATAGAAAACCATATTGTGTGGCAGTTATGATTCAATTTAAGAAATTAGGATAGGCCACCAAAATCACTCTTAAACTAGGATCAATATCCCGACCTACGGCAACGTGTTGTTTTTCATCGATTTTCAATCGAAACAAAAGTGAAGGGTACAGTTTCACTGGCATTTTCACTCGATATCGAAATAAAAAATGGAATAAAGAAGATTATCCGACCTAGTAAACCAGAAACCTCCCGCCGACGGCTTTTTTGCGCTTGAGTTTCGGTTCATTGTAAACAGATAGAGTTGAATAGGTAGAGTTATTTGATACTCATCATTCATAGTTAATTTAACTAGTATTTTTATTTAAAAAATCATGGGTAAAATAAATATTATATGGGCATAATAATATACATAAACTAATAATAAATAAATACTTCAAATTCTAATAATATAGGTAATTATGAGAGCACCATCTCAAAAATATGTTTAACCATTTTGATAACTTATTTAAAAAGTAATCATTATTATCCTTTTATTTGGCACGGAAGATTTATAGATGATAAATAATATTATGTTAAAAAGTCCATAATTAAAAGTTATCTCCATTTATTTTTACACAAATTATACGTAAACATTTAAAATTCAAATGCAAATTCTTTAAATTAAAATCCGAAACGGGAACATTAACTGCATTATTGATCTCGCATTTTTCCAAAACGAAAACGGGAGCTAAGTATCGCTCTGCAACTGATAAAACTCGCAAAATGCGAAGTAACTGTACCGGCGGTACCCACAGATGCGTAATGAGTGCGTTCCGATTTTTAAATCGTGCAAAAATCGATTCGTTACAATTTTAAATACGTGCACGGCTTGAAAAGCAGCTTGAACAAGATGCACGGGTGTGGAGTTAACAAAAGCAATTTAAAAGTGTTTTTTCTTTAATTAAAATGGGATAAAATATTACTAAAATCCAGAAAATTTGAATATTCATCCGTTTTTGACGATTCTAAAATTTTTTGAAATCCAATTTTTTTGATGAAATTTAAAACAATTAAATTCCTTACAAAGCCAAACATTTTTATTGTAAAATACTAAATGACTTCAAAATTTTCCACGCTTTTAAAATATTCTTACAAGTATTTACCGCGCATTGGCAGGAAATAATTGAATTTGAAACGTTTTTTCTTTTTTGTCACTTCGTGCGGCACCAAAAAGTATCTGCTTAAAACATCGGCTTCCAAAAGATTAAAATAATTGAAGCAGCGTCCGCGAAAATGTTATCTTGCCCTTAAATCGACGGACTGAAACGAATAAATTCCAATGTTTAAGCGCTAATGTTCTAGGGTATCAACTTGATAAGTTTTAATTCTAAATGTAGAGTGCTCTGTTTCCTTTGAATGTTTAATATATGTATACATTAAAAGGAAACAGAGCACTTTATAAAGTTGCTATTTAATTAAATTCGAAGTTAATTAGTTCTTGTTGTTACAAGTGGATTTGATAGGCTTTTTATTTCACTTAAAAAAAAATTAAATCTCTTTATAATTTAATATACAAATACTGAGAGACGTACCTGAATTATCAAGAAGTTAATGAATGAGCCATTTTAAACTTAAAAAGTATTGAATTTAAGGCGCATTAATGTAATTAAAGTAACAGCGCTCTATTGATTATCAAATTATTTAAAAATAAAGTGAGTAGTATTCAGCTAAATAATGTCATGTTTGCCTAAAATACCATTTCGATAATAGTACTTCTATTTATAGTAGTACAATTGGTTAGTAACAATATTTAATCGATCGTTTTCTCAATGGAAAGTCAATCGAGTACGTTTCTAGCAAACCAATCCCGTTCCGTTCCACACTGACCACAGATGAAAATTGCGTTCCGACCGCGTAGAAGAAAAAAACAGTCAAGTACTAGTGATGCTAAAACACATTGGATTCCGTATTCAAACCTGAAACAATTGCCAAACATGAAACACACTTTATCATATTCAAGATTGAAACAATTGACGAGCGTGGAGTACACGTTGTTAAAAATTAAAGATGAATAAAAAATAACAAGTTCTTCATGAAACAAAAGCTGTCCATAAAATGAATCGAGCGGCTAGACATAGAGCAATACATACTTTAACGGGTAGAGATACTAAAACTCGATTTAGACCTATTCATAGTTTAATGTAGGTAGATCTTCGTTTGCAATGTTTTTAACTGATCCAAACTTTTACGTGCATAATTATGTAGGTGAATATCACATTGTTTCAACTTCTCTTATAATAAAATACGTTGAAAATACAGTCAGGTTTCTTACAGTTACAGCGTTCCAACACTTCAAACAAGAACCTTGCGACATTGAACCCTAAAACGAAGCTATGTCATCTCTATTGGAGAAAAAAAACCCGAAAATAATTAGACATTTCGCTTTCACTGACTCTAGGTGCGTAGAGTTAGGTAACTAGTAGACACGTCTAGTTGTCGGATGGGTGACAATGGAGTAGTTACTCTAAAATTATTAAGAGCTAAGTTTTTTTATGTGTTTGACAAATTCATAACTAAGACTTAATATAATGCTGCTGTCTTAAAACTTAATATTAAATTATTAATATAATTAGATCAGACTTCTTACATTTATTGTCATAGGCATTAAAAAACTAATTAGTTAGGTGTTCGAAAACGTTAGCGATTATTAATTATTTTAATTAAATTACCATGACTTTCTGACGGGTCTATTTGTCTTTTAATATGCATTACGGAACACAAAATTAAATATCCATTGAAATTAAGGTGAATGTTCACATTTCCTTTAATTTATTACCGTTTGAAAAAAATCCAGAAGTTTTTATTAATTGCCTAGTAGATAACAAACAGTCGCACCGCGGGGCATGACGCTACTATAAGCAAACTGAAGCGTGGGTTTGAACGCACACAACAAATTAGTTTATTTCGACGTTAACTATTTCACGGTGTAATTGTTTTTGTGACTTCATTATAAATGTATCTTTTATATTAACTTAGTTTGAAGTAACTAATCGTGTTCCATTGTTTACAATATTAAATTTATAAAAGACAAGAAGTATATTAATACCGAAAGCTGCAGTCAGAAATAATATGTAAGTAGTAATTTTATTGGCCATTCTGAACTGCAAACATTTTTTTTATAAAAATGGGTACCTAATTTCTAGTTTTCATCTTTTTTTTAACATTTTATAAGCTACATTGAACGTGACAAAAAAAACTATATTGTATTTGTTATAACTTTTGCTCCTTTTGTAGTTTGTCTTTTATTTTTCTGGTAGGTAGACTTTTGAAAATTCAACTTAGACCTTGAAAAATACATTTTAGTTTTTATTAACACCTTCACCCGTGCAATTGTAATTTGTCAAAGCGGGAACTCTAACTAGGTCGGGTTCAATCGTCTTTCAATTGCGCACCACCCACAGTTGCCCACCGCACACCTATGCATCACAAAATTGCCCAAGTAGGTGTGTCCTCAAATTGGTGGTTGCAAAACGAGCGCAGTTGTCGTCTCGAATTTACATATAATTGCAGTGGGGTCTAATTATCTGCATAGTGTTTTGTGCATGTTTATTGCCCTTCCTGAAGCTTTGATGGGTTGTCTGGCTAGAGTTGACGGGGATGTGACAGATCTATGACGTAATAAGTTGGAAATAAAGGAGATTTGAAAATATAGTATAATTAAATAGAAGTCAAATAATAATAATAACAAAGTCTTGATTGAAATTGGACTGTTTTTCTAAATTTCTTGACACTAAAGGTATGTTTTATTTGTTTAATTTCTAAATTAGAAATAAGGAGAGTTTTAAGTATGGTCTGGTAATATTTTTGCAATCGAAAGTTGTTCTTTTTGAAAGGGAAACCGCAATATTGAGACCAAAATATAATTTTACGATTGCATCTGTCTCTACCGGCAAAGTGATGTCAAGAAACGAATAAACGACGTGAAAAAATGAGCGTTCAATGTTAAAAAAATATCTGTCACTACAAATTTTATTGGTCTACTGCTGCAGACACATGAATCACGATGCACGACAAATAAATTCGGTTCTAGTAGTGAATTTGCGAAACATTGAACCGGTGGACAAGGCTTGGGATTCTCGACCCTAAACGTTCAACTTTAAGGACTAAAAACAGTCTAATTTTGCGTCTAGGTTCCAGTTGCCACGTTGGAAAGAGCATTTCAGACATAGACTACTAAAAATTCAAGGAAATTCGAATAGTCTGCACTCAAGTACATCACTCGATAAAAATTCAGATCGTAAAAAATGCACGAACGACATAGACCGCGTCGCATAATTTTCAGATTCATTTTCATAATGGTGCAGTCTAGAAGTTGAGGTCAATATAGTATGACTGTGACTTGTATCTAGTTGTGATTGGAATAACTTAATGTATCGATGGAGTATTTAAATTTTGCTAATACGACAACTTACTATTGTAACCGTTCTTGTAGGAATCTAACTAATACCTATGACTTAAAAATA